TGGGAAAACCTATAAACAGGGGAAACTGAAGCAGAGGAGAGGAAAAGGCAGAGCTAAGACTTCACAATGTATCTGCTATCACTTCTCACATAATCACCTTGAATAGTGGTTTTGTGCAATAAATTCCTTGTAAGTAGAGCCTGAATTTCTAAGAGTACATATATGGTAATATTAAGAGAAGAAACCACATTCTTTCCCTTGTGTCCTGATCAAGACCTCTAGAAGTGAACTCTCTCTTCAAGATTGTGCGGTATATGTGAACACATTTACATGTGGCAGATATATTGGCCATAATATTACCCTTCTCACTGGGATATTATCTTGTGATCAAAGGATTGCCAGACAACACCAATACTAACTTTGTTCTATAAGGTGTCACCTGTGAAGATCCCTTACCTTGCCAGCCAGGGTGGCAGGGCCCAGGAGGAGACAGGCTAGGTAGTTTCAGCTTAGAAGGCCTGGCAGAGAGCTGCTGGAGCCATCTTAGTTTAGGGAAAAGCTCCAGTTCAGAGAGGGGGAGTGGCCTAGGCCTGAGCCAGCCCAGCAACAGCCAGGATTGGTTCGGAAAAGGGGGGCGGAGTTAGTCAGTTGGAGGGAAAAGGAGAGCAGCTTGTTGAGACAGTTTTGAGTTCTGTTCTGAGAGAGGTTAGAGTAGGATTGGGAGTTTTAGGAGTCTCTGTTAGGAATAGGCAGCTTGCCTGTAGTTTGCACAGCAAAGTAGGCTGTGGCAGACGGAGTTACAGCTATTTTTAGAGAAGAAAATAGCTGGGTTTTGTGTTAAGGAATTGTAACAAAGAATAGAACCATTCTCTCAAGTAACCATTACGCTTCTAAGAACCAAGAACACTTTTATTGTAACAGCCAAGCCTCTGAACCTGCATCCACTTTTTATTCTGTAACTTGTAATTCAATAAACTCTTTCTTGTTATTTTTAAAATTTAAGCCTGAGTCAAGTGCCATTTTTGGTTGGAGTCCTTTCCCTTGTTGAAGCAACCTCTCCTGCTTTCCCTCAGAGAAACCCCTTGATAATATACAGTATTTGGTGGAGTAAAAAAGCCTCTTAATAATTTAAACAGCCTTTTAGCAGTCTAAATAGCTAGAGGGTTCGTGATTCTTCAGTTTATGGTGGCAGCGAAGGTTTTAAAGAAAGAGACATCCCCTCAAACGCTATAAGAGCCAAAGTGGTGTGAATTCCTTATTGAAGGAGGGACAGTGTTGGGATCTGCTTGCCCCCTGTCCAGTGATATTGTTTTGGTCATCAAAGAAATTATTATAATTTGGTGGCAGTGGTGGGATTCTTTGACCCCCTGCCCAGACGGCCAATTAAGGAGTCCTTATATCACCCATACTAAATGACCAATAAAAAGGATCCAGTTGTAAATAAAACTAAATTTCTTTACATATTAGGAATATACTTAACTACTTGGAAAATGGACTTTAGACTCCAAATGATTGCTATAAATTAATTATGCCATTTTCACTATGTTTTTGACAGATATTGGCAAACCTATTTCAAAGCACTTCCAAGAGTAGCATCAGACAATTGTGCCCACAATGTTAATATCTTCCAACAGTGTTCCCCATTGTTATATTTGGCACAAAGAAATATTCCTGGAGCTCAACTAGACTGTAATTATTTATTGGTTTCATCGGTGGAAATTCAAAACTATCCAACAAGCATATTAATCACATTTTCCGTTTCTGCAAGCATTTAAAAAGAATTGGGAGGACACAGCATTGCACATCAGTGCTTGGAAAAGCTATGGGGCTGAGGAGGGTAAAGCTTCCAGTACCTCTGATGTTGGTAGCAATGGATCTACAAGCTTGGGGTTTCTCAGAACAGCAATCCAAAAAGAAATGTTCCAAGTTTTATAGAAAGTTTTCCTCCTGTATCCATCCCCCCTTTTTTTTACCAAAACAAAACTGGCCAATATTTTCTACACTGTAGATTTGAAAACTACTCCATTAACATAAACACATATATACTAGGGCTGGGCGGTTTCATTTCGTTAATTCGTAATTCGTTAATAATTCGTTAATTTTTTCAATTACAAAACGATAACGAACCATTCTGGAGCAATTATTAAAAAAACGAATTTTCAAAAACGTTTTGTAAATGCTTCGTATTTCGATATTGTATTCGTTTCGTTATTGTTTTGAGGTCGTTTCGTTATTATTTCCGCATGTCTGGGCCAGTTTATGGTTTAATTAGTGAAAAAAAATTATAATATCACACCAACAGTCAACAACAGAGGGAGAGGGAAGCTTCAGAAGGTTTTGGAGGTTTTTTAGCGTATTTCGCGGTCGCGTCCGCCATTAACGAATCGATTCGTTATTGTTTCGAAATCGATTCGTTAATTTTTTTACCATTTACGAAATTTCGTAAATATCGAACTTTTTAAAAGGAAAATTTTGTAATTATTTTAAATATCGAAACAAAAAAACCCCCCAAATACAAATCGATTTTAGAAACAATTTTTTCCGTTGTTACCCAGGCCTAAATATCAGCCCTTAACTCTTGTATCTCTTCTACAATTTCCTATCACCAGGCTTGCATTAATTGCATTGGCATCAAGTTTGCTCCCAAGATTTCTGAAGGAGCATTTCTTCCCATATGAATCTGTTAGTTATTTGAGATTCTCAATGGGAATGAATACTCATGTCCTGCTACCACCTTGAGAGGATAGCTTGGTGAGTACACAAACAGAGCTTTCTCAATAATATTACCTCAGCATCCAGACAATTTGAACTACTGTGCTTCGGTGCGGCCCTGGTTACAGCAAAAGAACATCCCCAGGGCCATTTGGTGTCCAGATGATCTACTAGAATGAGAGCATGCTTGTGCCACGACCACTACTGCTGCTTCACTGGCCAAAAGTAATTCCCTGACAACCTTGCTGGAGAGCCGTGTGATGAGCCGGATGACCATCACAAACTACTTTACCAAGAAGGCTCTACCAGAGAGCTGTTCATGGCCAGCAAAACAGTGCTGCATCTGTTTGATTTGTGAACACTGGACTGGGTCAAAGCCACTCTTTCTGAAGGCTGATCTCAGCCAGAAAAGCATCCTTGATTTTTATCAGATTTCACCAAAATATTCAGATTTATTCATATTTGTGATTGATAGAGGTGGTCTGACATTGGCACAATGGTCCACGCTCTGGTTGCATCCCGAGTAGACTCCTGCAAGTGCAACACACTCTACTTGGGGTTCCTTCTGAAGACTGCTCGGAAGCTCCAACTAGTCCAACACTTGGCAGCCAGGTTGCTCATGGGAGCATACAACTCCCCTTGTTAGGCCAGCTCCATTAGCTGCCTATTAGCTTCTGAGCACAAAGTGCTGATTTTAACCTATAAATCCCTAAATGGTTGAAGCCCAATTTACCTGTCTAAACTTATCTCCCTCTACGAACCACCAAGGACCTTAAGATCATCCGGGAAGGCCCTGCTCTCGGTCCCAACGCCATCACAGTCGCGTTTGGTGTAGATGAAAGACAGGGCCTTCTCTGTGGTGACCCCTCAGCTGTGGAACTCTTCCCTAATGAGGTTAGATCTGTCCCCTCCCTTCTGACCTTAAATCCTGGCTATGGGATCAAGAGTTTGCAGAATAGACCAATTTACTGGTGAAGATAAGACTTATTTGACTGCAATGGACTGATTTGGATCATGATTTTTAACCTGGCGAACTGTTTTTAATGTAGATTTTTAACTGTTTTAATGTATATGGTTGTATTTTATTATATGTTTTATATTGTGTCGGCACTGAATGGTTGCCTGTTGGAAGCTATCCTGAGTCCCTCCTCACAGGTTGAGAAGGACGGGGTATAGATGTTTCAAATAAATAAATAAATACATTTGCTTTGAATGTGGGAGTTATGATATGATCTTCTCTGTACTGCACACATTGATTCTGTTTGGTACAAACAAGGAAGCCTTCTTTATTTGTAGTTTGTTTCTTACTCACATTTGCTAGTTGCTTCACAACCAGATTAGAAAGAACAAGGGATGTATTTTAAAATTTGAATACAGGAGATAGCAAATCTCACTAAGTTGACATTTTAGACTGGAATCCTTAGCAAAAGTAGCAGAGCAAAACATTCAGATGTTAGCAATCCTAGTACTGCTATCCCTGCACTCTCTTCTCTCCCTCTCTTCATCTCTCCCCTTATACTCATTCTCCCTCTCTCCCTTTCTCTTTTTTAGTCCACAGTTAAAAGATGATTACTCCTGGCTTTTGCCACGATATTCTCAAAATCTTATCACAGGGTAAGACTACATCATATGTTTTTATCTTTATCACAAAGGTAGACCAGGTTAATTCAGTTTAGCCCATGTTAAGGAAAGTCAAGGGATGTTTTGAAGTTTGCACAAAACTCTGGAGTATCCCATGGCTTTGGCACAGTGTATAAAGCATGACAAGGTCTGATGAAGACTGAGCCACTGTCCCCACAGGTGACTGCAACCATCCCTTTATCCGCAACCCCCTGTTTCATCAGCACAATAAAAGGGGATAGATCAGATCCATGTCACTGTCATCATGACTGTCAGGTGGCCACAGTGCTCATGGGCATCTCATGTTGACATCAGGAAGAAGGAGGGAAGATGACTCCCTGGTCATATGAATGCTTCTGTTGATGTCAACACGGGGATCCTTCAGCAGCCAGGAGATCTGGCAGCAGTAACAGCAACACAGCTGGCAAAGTGACAATCCAGTGGGGCTGATGAGGCCCTGCTCTAGCTGGATCACCTGGACTCTGCCCTGATGCTGTCAGAAGTTGGGGACAGTGTGTGTGACCACCTCTGATGCCACTGCTTCAAATCGCCCCCAGATTCTGTGGCTGGTATATAAATTAGTTTCCCCCTGATACGATTAGAAATGACATGAAGAGTGCCTAAACAGAGCATTAGAATCAATAAAAGAGCAATTTTTAAACCATTTCATTTCTTCAGCTTTTCTGAAATCATTGGGTGACTGCTGCAGTCATACTCAATACAGAAGGTGCCATCATCATTATTTTATTTCATAGCGTAAGTAGCTTTCTCCATAAATGAAGCTGTTTTCTTCAAAATATCCATTAAAAACCCATTTGGCAATTGCATGGACATTTTCCACAGTCCTTTCATGTTTATGATCATGATTATGTATGATGTGTTACCAATTTTTTAAAGTTATATTACAGGCAATGTGGGTGGGGAACAATATTAAGTCGCAGTTTTCTTCAGCATGGATTCCTTGGCAGCGTTGAATCTGACTGTTAAATATTCTCTACAATTAACACTGAGAACACTAGCCAGTGTCTAGAAAAAGAAAAAGAAACAGGGACATGTTAATGTGGGAGGCATATGGAGAATTTTCTATATTCAATACAGCTTATCACACTTCAAATTTACAGCCATTTGTCTTGGAGTGAGAAACATCCAACAACATACAAATACTTGAATAAAGTCCTTGAGTGTAGAATATTTGCAGTAAAGAAGTTATGTTCACAACAATAAACTCAAGCTGAAGACACATCTAACACTTTTACAATGTGGTAGAACGTGACTTGAATGCATGCTCATGGCCCTAGAAATGTAAAGCTCAGAATGCAGTGAATATATGTTCAAATGTCACCCCTGATTCATGCAGCCATAGCTTAACCCTACGCACTTCCTTTAGTTTCATTGACTGTCGCTTGTAGAGCCAGAGACTTTCTGAACGCTCACATAACTTCACACATTTTGCAGACAAAAGACAAGATGATGCCTTCTATCCAGAAACCAATTCATGCCATGTATAGCAGTGGTTTCCAACCTGTGGACTGAGGACCACCAGTGGTCTGCAAGAACAAAAATATGGTCCATGGTCTCACCATTACTACACCGTTGCAACGAGAGCAACTGATCTTGCCGAGGCTAATTAAATATGGTTTTCTGTGGGCCAGCAAATGGCAACTACTGAATGGCATATGTTCTGTATCAGAAACTAGATGTGGTCTATCCAATGCAATTTTCTGAATCAGCACTCCAAGTAACCAAACCAAATCTAAAGTTGACCAAAAATTGATTTGTAACCCTTTTGGTACTAATGTTGGAGAATGGTTCCTGGTCAAGTGGTCTCAGGTTTTAAAAAAAGGTTGGGAACCACTGATGTATAGGTACCCAACTAAACTGTGACGTGAAACCAAACTAAACCACCAGGTCAAGACTGGCAATAAAATAGTGTGCCCCCCCCCCTACTGCACAGTTATATCAGTTTGATACTTCTCTAACTACTATGGCTGCATCCTACAGAATCGTGGGAATTGTAGTCTAACTAGACACATGATTTTGTACTAAAAAACAATAGTCCTCTCCCTTGAACTCTAGAGCAGAGATTTCCAAGATATGTGTTGTGACACTTCAGTGTGTTGGCTACAATGTGTGTGTCTCACAAATGTAATGAGGAACCTTTGAGTCTACGGACTTAGAGCATGGATCCACTCTAAATCCAGTTTCTGCCTCCTGCAGAATTCTGGGGCTTGTAGTAATGCGAGGCCTTTAAACTGCTCGTCCAGACAGGTCCAGGGCCTCACTAAACTACGAGCCCCAGAATTCTGCTCTAGTATGATGAACCTGTATGTGAAATAAGCTATAAATAATATATTTTAAATATATAAATAAAATGTTTTCATGAGACAGGTTATTGCAATTTATGAATACATATTACAATTTATGTATGTGTTTGTATCTCTTATAAGGGGTTAGTTTAACTTCTTTTTTGCTAGTAAAACTGAATAACCATGTCACAAAATTATGCATATTTAAAAAGTGTGTCATCACCACCATACAAATGCCATGTTTCATTAGGATGGTGTCATGAAACCTGAAAGGCTATCAAACTGCATGGTAAAGATACACACAATGTATACTCCACTATATCTGTAGACAACAGACTGGTTTGAAGATAGAGGAAAAGTTATGAGGCACAGTTCCTTTCAAAGTGGGGGATGGCACCAGTGTGGGAATGCTCAGGAGAATGGGGAGTGAGTTGTTGCTACTGCCCTTCCAGCATCTGCTGTCTGAGGCCTAATAATAGTCCTGGTTTTGCAACATTATTTAAAGAGGAGCAAGAAAAAAATTGATGTCAGCCATGCATTTCTAGTAATATTGACTTTTCACTTGAAATCTGTTATCTTGTATAAAGAAAAGGTGGTGTGGGTCCACTAGAAAATATTGGGTGTTACACCTGAGAATTCAACCCCAAATTCCTGACTGAATAAACGAATGGATTGAGCAAGGAAAAATGTTTAATTATTACTTCCTTACTTTGCAAAATGGTGAGAAACAAATGGCCCATTATAACCTACCCATTCATGATAGTCAAAACTTTCTAAAGTGTGGACACACAAGAAGAAAACACAGTGTACAAAATTAGTGTAGTATATTTAAAATGTCTGTAAACTACAAAGCCCTGATTCAAATCTAGTTTCAGTCCTGATGGTTCTTTAGGATACACAATATTTGACATTCCAGATTTTTGGCAATTGCCACCAGGCTAGCTCAGACCTGGGCAAACTTTGGTCCACAATTCAATTGGGAGTTGAAGTCCAAAACACTGGAGGAACAAAGTTTTCCCATGCCTGGAATAGCTGCATAATCAGTGCTGATAGAAGATGAAAATTGCAGTCTAGTAAATCAGGAGAGCCCTGGGTTACTCATATATTTCCTCAGAACAAGCCACTAATGTTATCAATCTTAGCTTTGGTCTACATTACAGAGTTGTTGTAGAGATTGCAAAGATACTTTATATGTCTTTTGAACATTTTAAAAATGAAATTTTGTTCTAAAAAAAATTTGTACCAAGTCTTGAATTTATTCAATCCCTAGCAATGCCAAGGTTTTTCATGGGCACACATTTGTATTGTTATTCAGAGCTTTCTGATTTCCATTAGTAATTCTAATGGAAATGCAAGTGTGCAGACCCAAAGGAATGCATTCAAATAAATACATAATAGTTCTTGTAGACACAACAGATGTGTGTCTCTCTGTTTGAGACATCAATGTCTTTAAAAAATGGATTTAAAGAACTGAGTATGAAAGGAAACATTCAAAGTAATTTAGGAAATTTAGGAGTTTTGCTAGAGCAAGAATAGTGAATACATCAAGAAGGAAAAAATACCTGTGCTAGCTCTTAGAGATTGAACTTTCATGGCGGCAGCTTTCATAAAAGAAGACAGAAACAAAGAGAAGACAAGATAAGTACATAATGCCTCGTGGTGGCATTTATGAGGATTAGACCAAGTGGATAAATCTACTAGGATAGAGGTGGAGAAAGTATGAGCCTCATGATACCCCCAATTTTTGAAAAATCATCCCCCACCCCTTGTCCTCCTAGGACTTTACCATAATTTACCATCCTGTACTTATCCAATTTTACTTTCCCCAAACTTCCTCCTCTTTACTAGTTGCCATGAATAGAGGGTTGCAAGTGTAATGATGTCAGTTTCACTTCACACCTTTTCGAGGGGAAGCCCTGCCTTCTCTCCCATGGTGAGTACCATGCTAAAAGTTATAATGCAAGTAACACTTCTGTTAAAATGTGACTGCTGTTTCCAACAGGGAATGCCTGCAGTATTGCATTGCAACATCACAGGGAACATTCAACTACTATGATGCCTTTTTTGGGCGAGAGGGGGCAAATATAAAAATGTTGGGCAACCTATAATTAATTTTTTGAGATTCTGAAGGTCATAAATAGATGTACTACTTAATTAATAAGCAATAATAAGTCCAGATTATCATGCACAATTTATATACACAACTCCATCTGAAGGCCCCTCTCTGTATTTCTGTTCGGAGAAAATGACAGGTCTATTATGCTAAATGTACATTAGAAGGATTGTGCTGAACCTCTCTCATTGACAGCTTTCATGTTTTGAACAGTTCTGAATGATTCAGCAGTCAGATACCTTGCAATTAGCCATAAACATCTCATCATTCACATATCATGAATGTGATTCATTCCAAAATATTTTTGTAAGGACCAAGCGGGATGGTGTGGTCGAGGCAGAAGTAAAGACGCAAAAGCAGAGGTGGAAGCAGAGGTAAGGAGAGTCTGTTTAGCACCTGTTCTCACAGACAAGTTGCCCAGCTGAAGAGCAAAACTTGGAGCAACAAGTCTATTGGAAATGGCAGGCTTGTATTGCTTACTCAGATTACTAAAGAACCTTTCATATTGCTCAGTTAAAGCACTATGATTGCACTTTAACTACCATGACTATATCCCATAAATAGCATCCTAAGTTAGGTTCTTGTGGGTTTTTTCGGGCTATAGGCCCATGTTCTAGAGGCATTTCTCCTGACGTTTCTATGGCAAGCATCCTCAGAGGTGGTTACCTCAGAGGTAGCATCCTAAGTTTGTAGTTTGGTGAGGTACTTGAAGAGCTCTGTGACGGAGAACTCTAAATACCCCTCCCTAAATGTCATGTCCTAATATTTCTCATTGTAACTTTTAATATGCTAGTTTTAGAAGAATGATAGTGATACGGTTGTGTGGTGTGAAAGGAACTCCAGTTTGGTCATGCTGAGAAAACTCTGACTACTTCTGGTCACTGCAAAGGTGATGCCTGAAGCTACCTCTGTCTTATTGTTATACTGTTTCTGTGATGGAAAACAACTGTTAGATTCTTTGGTATGAAAATCCTAGAGTAGGCAATGGATAACCCTCCGAACCTGTGACCATCCAGATTTTTTGGCCTCTACTCCCACAATTCTTAGCCATTGGACAAGTTGGCTTGGGCTTCTGGGAGTTGAAGGCCAAAACAGCTGGAGGGCCCCATGTTGTGCAGGCCTGCCCCAAAGGATGTTGGTGTGTAATCCCTCATCAGGTAGGCAGGAGTGGCAATTCAATAACATTGAAGAACCTCAAGTTGGGCACCTCTGCCTGACATGATTATATAAAAAGCCAGATGATCAAGAAGACCCGTTGCTATACCTTAGCAGGATTTTCCAACACCATTCCCAAGATCTCTTCTGAGTAGACATTGAGCTCTGCTGTGAGGACCTCCATTGTCTGGAAAGTTTTCTTTCTTGGTATCTTTCTTTTCTTGGTAGTGTGGCAAATGAGTTTTGTCTTTTATGGTAGCAGAACAGAGCTGTGGAAAATACAGTTAAAATGAACATTGTTATTCAGAAGAAAATGCAGAAGCTTGAAAAAGAAGGAAAAGGAAAACAACTAGCATTCAGAATATGGGCATTTGAGAATGAAATAAAGAGGTCTCTATAGCACAAAGTTTTCCCTTGTTTCCATGGTTGGTAGATCAAATTACTGGGAGCTTTGGCAGGATAAGAGAGGCGATTTATCTCTTTAGAGCAGAGGTTCTCAAACTGGGCTTCATGGAGCCCTTGGGGCTCCACGGGTGATAGAGACTTCATAACACCATGCTGCTTCCAGCCTCCTCATCTTTCCTCCTCCTGAGAAATACAGGGAAATTAAAGTTATGAGCTGATGAAAACAATAACAACAGCAGTAGCAGCTATTAGGTAGGAGTGGATGGACTCTGTGGTTTCTTCTTCTTCTTCTATTATTATTGTTGTTGTTATTGTTGTTGTTATTATTATTATTATTATTACTACTACTACTACTACTACAAGGACTGGATCCTCATCTGTTGGGGGCACTTTGATTGTGTTTTTCCTGTATGACAGAGGGGGGTTGGACTGGATGACCCCAGAGGTCTTCCACTGAAATATGATTAAGTTTATGTTGGTTAAAATTATTCTTCATTTTAAATATTATATTATTCTTTCTTTCTTTTTTCTTTCTTTCTTTCTTTTTCTTTTTCTGCACTGTTTGAATTAGTTCACTCTGCATCTATCTACCATTGGCCCAGCCCATGCCTGAAATAAATACATTGCATATAATATATTACATAATATATAACCATTTGACTTAGGGTCCCTCTACACAGCCATATAACCCAGAATATCAAGGCAGATAATCCACAATATCTGCTTTGAACTGGGTTATCTGAGTCCACATTGTGGGATTGTATACAGCCGTGTGGAAGGGGCCTTAAAGACCAAAGTGTGGCAGATCACCAGATTTTTTTTAGTGAGGAGAGAGTCAGTTAGGAGAGTGCCACAAATAACGTCTATATTTCTTCAATTACAAGAAGCTAATTGTAAGACGCACTCTAATTTCAGTATCACTACCACTAAAAATGCATAAGATACAGCTGTGATTCTAAGACACGCCCTATTTTGCAGATGTTTATAAAGAAGAAAAGTGCGTATTAGAATTGTAGAAACATAGTAGTTCTTTGCCATCATCATCATCATCATTATTACTATTATTATTGGCATTATTTAGCATTATTAGTAATAACCAAGACATGCCTAACATTACATAACTTAACAAGAGATAATTTACAATGTTAGTGTTTTAGTTTTCAGAGCGGCCATGCTAGTTCCTTGCAGGAAGGAAAAGAGAGAGAGAGAAAATGTCAGCACATTTCAGACTAAATCACTTTTATTTTAGCATGCGATTTCATGGATATAACCCCAGTCAATAGAACACAGCATCAACAGACCAATTATTTGAACCCCTGTATTTACTACCCAAAGCTCTTTGGAACATAGTTCTGTATAAAGAGCTACTGCTACAGCAATCCACTTATCACTCCCTAGACTTGCTGAAGTCCGCTCCATAACTATTCCATACCTGGAGGAGAGATTGGAGAAGTGTCCGGCTATGTCTCCTATTGAGATGGGGGAAAGGTTATATCATCTCCTGAGATGTAAGGGTCTTCTGAAGGGCACTACAGATAATATAACCATGCTCTACAATACAAGGGCATAGCCAGACATTTCTGCAACCCCCCCCCCTCCCCATTTTTTCTAAACATGGAAAGTAAGAACCTCATCAAACCAAGTTCTAGAAGTCAAGGGACAGTGATGGAAACTGTGGGGCAGCAGCCAGCTTCATCCCCTTACCATAGTTGGTTGTGGGCTACCATCCCACAATGTTTCACAGCTGTCCCCAGCTTTGTCCCATGCTGTCCCCGGTTTCTTCAATGAGGATACCAATAGTCATCTATCTCCTCATGGCTCCCTCTTAGCACACTGCCGTGCTTAGGACAGGGTCTGCCAAAAGTAGTCCTGTGTGATATGCTGGGCTCCCGCAGACTCTACCCTAGCAATTGGCACTAAGTGCACTAAGACGGGGGGGGGGGGGGGGGGGGGGAACCCATCTGATGAGGTCATTCATCTGAGGAGAGGGAACTAATTAATGGGAAGGGAGGAATGAGATACCACAGGGACCAAAAAAATAGCCATAGGCAGACATGAAATCAACTTACTCTTAAATACACCAGAATGTGTTATAAAGAACAAGAATCATTGTATTATCAAAGGCTTACATGGCCGGAGTCACTGGGTTGTTGTAGGTTTTCAGGCTGTATGGCCATGTTCTAGAAGTCTTCTAGAAGTCCTCACAACCTCTGAGGTTGCCTGCCATAGATGCAGGTGAAATGTCAGGAGAGGAGACTTCTAGAACATGGCCATACAGCCTGAAAAACCTACAACAACCCACAAGAATTATTCCCCTAGAAATTTCCAGGAGCAGTGATTCTATTTTGAAAACAAATAACGAGACATTAGCAAAAAAAAAGTGCCTTTCTTTTCTGTATTTTTAAAAAATACAAGTTGATGTTGTTATGAGGGGGGGACCTTTATCACAGGGATGTGGGTAACAATAATTTCTGGGGATGAAAACTGACACCATTAAAGTTCTCTACCCTGAAATACGGTCAGTGAACCAACGTCATAGGGCTCCATAGTCACCTACGGACCCACCCTAGAGGATTATCCTACTTGGACAAAGAGGGATCACCTAAGTAAATTAGTAAGTAAGAACCAATGTTAACCATACTATATTCACGAGGTCAGCTTGTTCACTTGTGAAATAAAGTGGTCACTGTCATTCACATGCACGTTTCTTGTTTTTCATTTCTGCTGCATTGGCAAGCATAAAGCTGATTTATAACACACACACACCCCCCCCCCCATATATTCAAATAGAGGATGTAATGCTCCATTACCTCTTTAGAGCTGAGCGCTTCATCTTCTGGAATAGGTACTATTGGATGTGTAGGCTGTAAAGAAGAAAAAAATGTCAAAAACATTGTAGGATGGTGGTAGCATATAATAACATAGCCTGACAGACACTTGGCATAATGAAAACGAAAGGCCAAGGCAATGAGGGGAAACAGCTGGTATTTGCAGATATGTATATTCCTGACTCCCTTGTGATAACTTCACATTTGGAAGCTCCTTGTGGCTACATGAAAATGCCCTTTTAATGATGTGTGTGTATTTAGGACAGGTTTGCATAGTCCTAAAATACACAAATTGTACACAGTTTTGTGCTTTGTCCTCCATTTTTTCCTGAGACACAGAAGGGCTGTGAGGACGCTGGGGGAAGAAAAACCGGTAGTTCTGTGTGGGGACCTGCTCTGTGGTCCCAGGTTTTTTTTATCCCCTCATTAAAATCGGCATTTTGATGCTGTCTGGAAGCACCCAGAGAGACAAAGAATCTAGAGAACATGAATAGTGAAAGAAGACTTTTATCCTATGCTCCTACCACCTTATCTTTGTTCACCCCCCTCTCATTTCACATTTCTCAGCCTGCAATATGTAGTTATCAAACTGCTTGGCACAGTAGCTGCGAGTAAGACAAATTGCACAATGGATTAATTAGAGTTTTGTGCCTCTACTGGGAGATAATGACTTGTTGTTGTTTGCTCTTGGTACTTTTCAAGGTACAGCAGATCACCTGCTGTCATTCACAGCAGTAATCTGGGTTTTATGAAAAATGTTTTTGCCATAGATGTTCTTTTCATTTTCAGCAGCCTTGACATCTGCGTCTACTCACTGTTAACTGGCAAAAAACCCATCACCAAGATTGCATGAGTCCTTTCTTTTCCATGTCATTTCTGTCTTAGTGAATTAGTGTAATGCTTATCTCTTTCAGACACAAATTTACTCTATTAAGAAAGAAAGAACTATTTCACTGGCATCCAGAAGTATTTAAAGTTCACAAAAATCGCTTCCTCTAAAAGGCTGTTAAAGTTGTTTCTAGAAGAAGTATTACACATTATAATGAATAGAAGCAGGAAAGAAAATATTAGTTGTTATCAAGATAGGTTTGTATATTTTGTTTGTTTTTTTTAGGAGCAGGTAGCTATAAGGCTTTGTATCATATTTATGTTCTATGGCTTGAATTCTATGACCCATCATTATTCCCCAGCTGGCTATTTTGTATTTATTTGAAATATTATAGTTGTATTTGCCTTTTTTATTGTTCTTTGTGAAACTGCAACATTTCAAAAATAATCATAAATAATAATAAATTAATAATAAATATGACAGAGCAGTGGAACTGTGGGAATATGGGGTTACATCTTGCACTTTAGTACCTATTGATACTTGAATTCTGGCAACTTATGCCAACGTTGTACCAACGCTGCTTATCCATGTCGGCTCTCATCCCTTGGTACCTACTAACAGTATTGTTGGTAGATTGGGAAGGGGATAGAGGGTGGAGCGGATGGGAAAACCCTAGAAATAGTGTAGCAGGGTTAGGAAAGGATTGGAAGGAGGTAGTACGGCAAAAAGAGAGATCAATAGAGCAAATAAATTGGATTGAAGTATGGGAAGAAACTACGATCTTGAAGTGCAATATGGATGAAGAAGGATATTCCACTAGCCGAGGGGTCCCCATAGAAACCATAACGGGGAGGGGGAGATGCGGGAAAGGGAGACCGCCAATTCGGCCTAGAAATAGTAGAAAACTAACAACCCAAATTTGGCCTAGGGACAGAAGAAGAAATTTAATTACTTGCAATCGGTCTCCTGACGTGGTAAGTGGGTGTACCCAGGATGGCGGTCCCTCTGGGTTGAAGATGGTGCTGTTGAACGCCAGATCTGTCAACGGCAAAACAACCTTCATCCAAGACATAATTCTGGAAGAACGGGCAGATCTGGCGTGCATTACGGAGACCTGGTTGGACGAAGCTGGAGGCATAAATTTAACCCAGCTTTGTCCACCAGGCTTCTCCGTACAGCACCAATCGAGACCTGGAGGGCGGGGAGGCG